CCCCACACGAGACGTCACACGAGTCGTGTGAGCCCACACGACTTGTGTCATGGGTCACACGACTCGTGTGGTAAAGCCGCACCAAAATAACAGAAGAGGTCGATTTTTCTCACCCCACACGACTCGTGTCACACTCCACACGAGTCGTGTGACCTGCCTGTACCTTATTTTCGTTGTTTTTCGTCCCGATTCCATCTTTAACGCTTTTTCAGGCATATTTCCTACAAAACCAACGACAAATATACCTCCATCATAGATTAATAAATAAAACAAAATGGTGCACAAACTCACGATAAACACGGTCAAACATCACACTATATCACTCATAATGCATGAAAATATGATGAATGTCACTATGCGTTTATCTAAACTCGTTGTCTTTTTTTTTTATCGGTAAATGTAAATATATAGATCAAAAATGAGTTCGGACAACCGAGAGCCGGCGAATAAAAGAAAAATGGGCAACCATAAATCGGCTCCTCATTCTCAATAAAAGAAAAGCGTGGCGAACCACAAATCGGTTGCTCTCCAAAATCACGAAAAAATAAGGCACAGGGCCCCAAGGGACCTCGGCAACACGGACGGCTCGGTGGACTCACGCCGGTGGACGCATGCAAGTAAGGGCACTGAAATGACTCTCAAAGCCCAAGACTCCTACTCTCAAATTCAACAAGCACATTTGGATAAGTTGCAAAAAATAGTTCGGTAAACATGTGTTTTTACCTTGCGGATTACGAGACTCGAAGCTTGGTAATCGTTCTCAAACACCAACCGATTCCTAGCATTCCAAATGAAGTACACGGTAGTCGCTAGCACCGCTTTCTTCAACTTGGTTTGCCAACCACTCCCTCTCGCCGGCTTCCTTCTTGGTCTATTTGAGAGCACCTTTTAGAGTGGACGGCCGATGTCAATGACAAAGAATATGGATAAGTAAACTAATCATTTTTTTTTTCATCCTAAATGATTATCATATGACCAGAATTTGAAAGTATTCCACAAAAAGGACATTAAGCATGAGCTCAATAATTTTCCTCAAAGTATCAAAGCATATACGAGTCATGTGGTGTTTTCACACCTTATAAAGTTCAACTTTTTTTTTTTCTTTCCTTTCAATTTCTTAAAAGGGATAAATAATTAATTATCACCCCATGTAATTAAGAATATTAGGTATGTAAAGTTCTACCTCAAGTCCATTGAAAATTAGGTATTCTTGTTTGACCGTTGAACAGAGAGGAGTTGCACTGAAATTTTAAATGCTACTGTAAATAATGTTGTCGGTGTTTTTTTTTTTTTTCGATTATGGACATGGTGGTACATGTAATATATTTATTTGGAGAATATTATCGATCAACATTAATGAGAAACTCATATGCAAGCTCACTCCAGATTTTAAGTTAGCCTCTCTTTTGCCAAAAAAAAAAAACAAAGCTTATCACATGGGACGAAGCGTCATTGAAGCTCTATCTAATAGTAACATTGGTAGTAAGGTTTTTATTCCACAAATGTTATTGAGTCATTCCGATGCCATTTAAGTTTGGACGGAAGCAACTTTCGGTTATGTTATGTTTTGCGATGTCTATTAATAAGAGTCAGGGACAAACCTTACCTAATGTTGATCTGTATCTACCAAAACCTATTTTCAGTCATGGACAACTTTATGTTGTCATATCTAAAGTTAAAGAATAGAAAGGCATGAAAATTTTGTGCTGCGACAATGATGAAAAAATTGTAAGTAGAGCTAATAATGTTGTGTACAAAAAAGTTTTTGAGAATTTAAAATAAACTACCAATGTACAATAGTTTTTGTTTTATAAAACATCCATTTATTATTTTTTAATATACTTAGAATAACTAAATTCTTTTACCTTTTTTGTTCAAAATTATTTTTTTATGCACCCGTATAGTACACTAGTGGGTGTCGTACTTGTTACTATTACAGTCCAAATAAAAAAACCTCGCTACAAATTGTACGCTGGCGCAAGTCAATAAATAGACCAAATTCAATGAATTTAATTTACAACAATTAGTATGAAACGATTTTTACGGGAATAATGCTATAGGTACATCCCCTATATATTAATTCAGAACGCGCTGAGCTTACGTGACTGTTTCTGGTGTTTCGGAATTCTAAGCAAAATTACATGCTTCGTTATTAGGCTTGGGTAAATTTTAATTTAATTCCAAACAAAAAATAATTAAGTTCGGATTACCATAAATATGTTACTTAATTATTTATGGTCATGTTACATGTATTAATTGCATCATTCCTTATTATAACTATTGAATTGTATAAATATTTTAAAAGTTAACAACTTTTGTATTTTTTATCAGTTTTACATATGTAATATATCAAATTAATCTTCTTTTGATGACCTTCGATTTAACATCTATATTGTATGTATAAAAAAAATAATTTATATTTATCTTTATAATAATAATAATAATTTTTTTAATATTAATTAGAAAAAATAAAATTATTTATCAACTAATATATTTATATTTCAAGTATGATATAAGTTATAAAAACTAATATAATATAACACACGTAAGTCATAAGTAACACTATCATTCTAAAATATTTAGTAATATATTTTATTTTAAAAATTAACTAAATTTAATATAGTTTCTCATTAATTTTAAAATTTAAGAATAATTTTTTAACAAGCACCCGTGTAATACGCGGGTGTTGTACTAATAATATTGTACATAGGATGCTATATATAGGAGCTTTGAAATATACCAACACTTAACGTGGAAGACTATTTTTATAGTTTTTATATCTTAAAATATTATATATGATTACAATTTTGTCACTAAAAATATATCAGACATAAAAATTTTGAGTCTCATCATTTTTTAAATAAAAACACTCGTTCTTCTTCAGTAGTATCCTCCCTATATATTATTCCGGAATGCGCTGAACCTACATGGCTGCTTCTGGTGCTTCAGAATCCAACTTGTCAAAGAATCATACTTCGTAATTAGGTTTGGACAAATAATATTGATATATTAATAATTAATAATCTAGGTTTGGACATTCCATAAATAGCTAACTTAGGTATTTTATTACACTTGTACTAATATAACCCTTTAATTCTTTGTAATTTTACATAGTGAGACATTAAGGGGGCGATTGTTTATAGTTTCAACAGTAAAAAAAACCAATCAAAACTCAAATTAACTCAACTTTAACCCAACTCCATTATCTCTCATATTATCAATATAATTAAATAATATCAACCAATCATTTTTACACATCACATCAATTTTAATTCACTATTCATCCACTCACATAATTTTAACTAATCATCAATTCTAATCATTTTTTTTAATATTTTTCATCTAATCAACTTTAATTATTTTATTTAAATATTGTTTTAATACATCCACTAACAACTAACCATACCACTTTTTTCAAAGTTAACTATAGTTAAAAAACAAACCAAATAAAAACTAATTGAATTCATAAACAATCACACCCTAAGTGACTAATATATCCTTGACTTTTGATTTGTTTCTTTCATTAGTTATTTAATTGTAAATGTATTTTAAAAGTTGACAACTTGTGTATTTCTTATCGGTTTTACATATATAATATATCAAATTAATCATGTTTTGATGATCTTCGATTTGACATCATATTGTATATATGAAATAAATAAATTATATTTATCTTTATAATAATAAAAAATAATAATATTTATTAAAATTCATTAGAAAAATAAAATTATTTCTCAATTGATATATTTATGTTTAATATAGTTATATGTTGTAAGTTAAAAAATTATTATAATATAACACAAGTAAGTCGCACGAATAAAAAAGTGTCATACTAAATATATAATAATATATGTATTTTTATAGAAGGTATTTAAATTTTCAATTACTTTTTCTCATTAATTTTAGATTTTAAGAAAAATTAACAAACACCCGTGTAATACACGGGCCTTGTACTAATAAATAATATAAACATAGATACAGATGTATTAATGCGCTAAATTTAATTTTATGTCTATTAATATAGACAACTTGTACGGAAAGAGGCAATATAATGGATTCAAATGGGGTTTTTCCTCTAGCATTAATTTATTGAAGGATGTTGTGCGGCTAATACAAATCAACATACATTATGGAAAAATGCTAAGTTTCTGTTACGGGATAGTACCGTCAGCATTTTTCATCGTCAGATACACATGTATGTTATGTTATGTGGATAATCAACGGTACGAAACACTGACGGAATCATTCTGTCAACGAAATCTTAGCATTCTCCTACGTTATGATCATTTTTACTTTATAGAATGAAATCGCCAACGACTTTCAAAAATATATTGCATTATGTTTCAAATATAGCTGTAGATGCCTTCTACTTTTTTTTTTTTTTTTTCCAAAGCATGCTTCCTACTTTTCTTGTTTTCTTCAAAGCAATACCTCCTAAGTCATACATCTTAATTGGATGTATTAAAAACAATCCCTAACAACTGACAATAAACCCAAAGCCTTTCTTCCTCATACATTTTATTTTTTTTTTTATGTGGATATTATTATTGACAATGTTTGAATATGTTAAATTATTATTATCTTTAATTATAAACAGGAATTTTAAAATGACAACTATTTTATAACGACTGCAACAAAAATATAAACCATAAAAAAAATAAATGAAAAAAAAAATATTATTAGTATTCAAAACTATTTTTTTACTAATCAACGTTCTTCCATTCATTTAATATATATAGTTTATAATTATTGTACCGTGCATCGCACGATATACATACGTACTAGTTTTTCAAGACACCAACTAATCAAATATTTCTAACAAAAAAAATGAAATAATTTTTTTTTTAAAAGACAGTTAAGCCCCCCCATGCCTTTCTCTCATCCCCACAAATCAATGCGCGCATACAAAAATGATGAGTATAAACATGAGGGAATGAAAACTGCCACTCTCACTCCCACTCCCACTCCCACTCCCACTCCCACTCTGACTACAAACAAAAATGATGACGTCACCTCTCGTCGTCGCCCTCTTGTTTCTATACGCATTTCTCATTTCTTCGACTCTTTCGTTTTCCGATTCAAACAATGGCGAAATCTCTTCGTATCCGAAAAGGCAGGCCGAGAAACTCATAAGGTCCCTCAACTTGTTCCCTGAGCATGAAGTGAACCGCCATCGGCCCGAATCAAATGATGCGTCGGTATCGGAGATTGTCGAGAAGCGATTCGAGTTCCCGTTCATGGAGGCTAATAATCCTGTTCAGGACTTGGGCCACCATGCTGGATATTACACTCTCCCGCACAGCAAAGCTGCCAAGTATGCGTTAAATAATTTATGCACACACACACACACACACTCTGTTTTATGTGTTTTTTGCGTTTGAATTTGAGTTATATCGGGTAGTCGATGGTTTTCGTGTTTGGAGATTTGGATTTATTGTTTGATGAGATCCCAATTGATGATTGGATTGGATTATTGCGAAACGAAGAATGTTTCTGATTCATAAAATTTATTTGAATTTACACTATTGCTTGCTGACAAAATCATCTTATAACAGGATAATAGTAAGGGGCCATATATGTTGTCAGAGTTGTAAAAGATCCCTTTTGTATGTATTTATTTAAAATTTGTAGTGTATTCAATGCAGATATATGCAATTTTTTAAAAAAAAAAAAAAAAAAAAATATGTACTTGCAATTCTTTTGTGCAGTGTATTAAATGCATATATATATATGCATATTGAGGTGTACAGATCTGTATATTTTTCTCTTTTTTTCTTTCTTTTTTCTTTAGCTTGTTTCTTTTGTGGGTCGGCTTCCTGATGTAATGGTCGTGTGCAGGATGTTCTATTTTTTCTTTGAGTCGAGAAGCAACAAGAGTGATCCGGTGGTTATATGGTTAACCGGAGGACCCGGTTGCAGCAGTGAATTAGCTTTGTTCTATGAAAATGGACCCTTTCACGTCACGGACAATTTGACTCTTACGTTGAATGATTTCGGATGGGATAAGGTACACTTTCTATATGAAATAATAACCGACCGGCTGTTTTACGTTCATAACATGGATAGTTGTGGTTTATATATTTTCATTAGATTTATCATATAAGTTGGTTATATATGGTGCATGTGTTTTGATTAAAGGTCTTGAATAAACTGTAGGTATCGAATCTCATATATGTGGACCAACCGATTGGGACGGGTTTCAGCTACAGTTCTGATGAGGACGACATTAGGCATGATGAGGAAGGTGTAAGCAATGATTTGTATGACTTCTTGCAGGTTCGTATTTGTTGTATCAATTCAAATTGAATGATATACTCACAACACATATATATATGCATATAATAATCAAATTCATAATTATACATAAAATGCCAGGCTTTCTTCAAGGCGCACCCTCAATTGACAGGGAACGATTTTTACATTACTGGAGAATCATATGCCGGGCACTACATTCCAGCTTTTGCCGCCCGGGTTCATCAAGGGAACAAAAACAATGAAGGAATTCAAATTAATGTAAAGGTATTCATTATTTGTTTTATTATTATTTATTTGAAGTCTGCAAGGAAAAAATTCATTAGACCTTTTCTATTTTCTTTTTCATGAAATTTGTTCCTAATTTGATTAAGGGATTTGCGATCGGCAATGGACTAACAAATCCCGAGATACAGTATGGGGCATACACTGATTATGCTCTGCACATGAAACTGATCACAAAATCTGATCACGACAGCATGAATCAGTCGGTTTTGGAATGTCAGCAAGCGATTAAGCTCTGTGGTAAATTCATTGCTGAAATTTAATTATGCTTTTATTATCTATTATTAGTTTTTAATTTAATTGTTTTTGTTCTTAGGAGTTGATGGTGGTGGTTCTTCTTGTGTGTCGGCATACGAGGCATGCAACAGTGTCTTCAACGGGATACTGGAAATTGCCAATGGTGTAAATGTAAGAAATATATATTTCTCTTAACAAATGGAAAATTTGTTTTAACCACATGATGGATTCTTTAGTTTAATGTATATTCTTCTCTTTTATATTTCGCGTGCAGTACTATGACATAAGAAAGAAATGCGAGGGCAACCTTTGCTACGACTTTTCCAACATGGAGAGATTTCTAAGCTTAGAGTCGGTGAAAAGCGCCCTTGGTGTAGGGGACATTGATTTCGTGTCTTGCAGCACGACTGTTTACAATGCTATGAGCACCGACTGGATGAGAAATCTCGAGGTCGGAATTCCTGCACTTTTGGAGGATGGGATCAAATTTCTGGCATATGCTGGGGAATACGATCTCATATGCAATTGGCTCGGTAACAAAAGCTTCTGTTTTGGCTGGTTTTGGGTTTTTTTTTTAACCTTTATAGCCTGAATTCAATCAAGACTCTGAAATTTAAGCACCATATGTTAAGCAAATCAACATATTTGAATTCAAATGTTTGGGCAGGGAATACGAGGTGGGTTCACGCGATGCAATGGTCTGGGCAGAAACAGTTTATGACCGCCAAGGGAAGCCCGTTTAGAGTGGGCGGAGTGGATGTCGGGCTGCAAAAGGGTTATGGGCCGCTAACATTCCTCAAGTTTTACAATTCGGGGCATATGGTGCCCATGGATCAGCCCGAATATTCATTGGAGATGCTGAGGAGCTGGATGCAGAGCAATTTGTCTTCCACACTTGTGTGATTCTTATAACTTGACCTACATAAGAACCTTTTGCTAAATGTAAAGGTTTCACACAATCAGGAGTTCATAAAAACATGAATTTATTTTATGTTAAAGCAAGGAGGCAATTTCAGAAAGCAGAGTTGGCAATGTGCTTTAAGTGCAAATGAAACAGATAAATAAATAAATAAGTTGCAGTTAAGTATGATTGTTTCATATTCCTTCTTTTTTTTTTTATGCATGAGATCATTATACAGATAATTTAGTATGAAATAGTGAACACAAGAACACGAGTATACATGCACAAACATAAAAGTATTATGAATTATGTGTACGAATATAATATTATAAATTAAAATTTAGATAATGGACATCATATTTTTAAAATTTGGTTATTAATATAAACGAACATTACAAATATAAATTAGAACATTACAAATATAAATTATTTAAGAACATATGAATCACTATATTAATTGAAATTATTTTATATTATGTAATTTTTGTAATTTTGAGGATCATTGCAAATTAGTTAGTTTAAAAAATATTGTTATTATTTTTGTTGTTGTTGTTGTTGTTGTTGTTACTATTACTACTACTACTACTATTATTATTATTATTATTATTATTATTATTATTATTATTATTATTATTATTATTATTATTATTATTATTATTATTATTATTATTATTATTATTATTATTATTATTATGATGTTACTAGTACGGTACTCGTGCGATGCACGGGAGCATTTATTACTATTTTTTTTAAGAATGTATTTTGTATTTAAATTGTCTCACGACATTAGAAATATTATGAAAATGAAATATTATTAAACACTTTCTTATGTACAACTTATTGGTTTGATTCTTTGGAACGTAAAGTACTACATAAGTGTTCGAATTTTATCTAAAATTGCTTATTATTAGTTATTAGTTAACAAAATTTTAAAAAATTAAAGGATCTTATTTATTAAACAAGATTATAGTAGAAAAAATAGAAATTTTTAGGGAATTTCACCCATTATTTATTTTAAATAAAATTCTAAATGTCAATTAAGAAACTTTGAAAAGAATCATTAGTTACTCCTGAAAATAAAATCAATTTTCCTACCAGTGAATCGATTTTTTTATCAAACAAATCGATCCGAATATTTTTTTAAACCAAATAACAAAATCGTCATTTTTTCCTAAAAACGCAACCGAATTTTCCTAACATTGCACCAATTTTTATACACAAATTGAATTGAAAATAATTCTAATAAAAAATTAAAATAAATTTGTTAATGTTTATGGAACTGTCTATTTCCTAAAGAAAATGGAACTTAACCAACAAAGAAAAATGACATGAACTTACCAAAATCCCGGTAAAACATGGTTAAAAGAAACATTAGAATCCAACAAAATCGATGCATTTAAATTTTGAAATGTTGCACATAATTTTTCCAAAATAATTGGATAAGGTGACTTTAAATATCAAAGATTAACCGCTTTTGTTACCAAAAAAGATGGACACAATTTTGATGTACATCCTGTCCAAACATCAATTTTAATTTAATATAAAACTTGCATGTGGTTTTATCCAATTTACACATTTTTTAGAAAAAAATAAATAAATCAATAAGGTTGGAAGAATTGATTAAGAATTTTTTTTTTTCCAAACGATAATATTACTATTACTCAAATAAAAGAAAGTTTACAACCGGATGGCCAACTAGCCATAATACAACCCAGAGAACCACACCCTACCGGTGGCCTAGAACAAGAACAACAAGCACAACAGGCATAACCAAGGTTAGACAACCTGTGCACTAAAAGAGAACAACAAAAACTAAGAAACCAACAGCAACATAAAATCCACGCCACTGAACCGAGACGGACCTAGCTATGGACATAGCAAACTACTAACTACCAAAAAAGCAAAGGAAAACAGAAAGAAAAAACAGAAGAAACTAGATTAAAAAAAGCTTGAGGCCTCGGACCATTCTCTTTGAGCCATCTTGGAGATAGCCACTTCTGGTAACCACTCTTTTTTAAAGATCCACAGATTTCGGGACTTCCATAGCCACCATAAGATATAGGTGGACAGTGAAATACGAGCTTCAGTGACTGGATTCATTTTCATCTCTGCAATATTCCACCACCAGCCTCTAAAGCCTGTTGTCTTAGCTTCAGTGAAGTCCCAAGATAAAGGAGCTGCTTTCCAAACCATCTGAGCTCTTCTACATTCAAAAAATAAATGAGTAACAGATTCCAAGTCATCCCCGCAGCAACTACACACAGGGTCAACTTCCATTCTCCTCTGCTGCAGGTTAAGAGCAACTGGTAAGTTATTGGTAAAACATTTCCAGAGGAAGTGTCTCAACTTTGGTTTGACTTTCATTGTCCAGCACCTCATTCTTGCTTTTCTATCCAAAGTCTGAGTGTAGCTACAGCTAGGAGAGTCTAACTGCAAGACCTTTTGATCAACAGCTGTCTTATAGGCAGAAGCCACAGAGAAAATGCCCTTAGCATCAGGACACCAGATCCATCTGTCTCTGGTCTCAGGGTTCAGAGTTTTCATGTTTAGAATGGCAGTACAAGATTCTGGTGTAAACAAATGTTGCAGTAACTCACAGTTCCAAGATCTCCCAGAATCAGAAATTAACTCCCAAACCCAAGTCACCTGAGATTGATCAATATTCTGATTGAAGCATGGAACACCTGTTCTGGTACCCAACACCCAAGGATCAAAAAGAATTTTAGTACTAACCCCATCACTCACTTGCTTCCTGAAACTGTTCTTGTAAATATTCATAATCTTCATCCAAGAATTCCAAAGCCAAGATGCAGATGACTTCCTATTAGCATTTAGCACACAGTCATTTGGAAAATACTTCTCTCTTAATATTCTGGTCATAAGACAGTTTGGCTTGGTCAGTAACCTCCAAATCTGTTTCAAAATCAGAGAATCATTAAAGATCCTGAAATCTTTAAACCCAAGTCCTCCTGCAGCTTTAGGGGTTGTAGCTTTTTGCCAGGCAAGCCAATGTACTCTAGACTGATTCTCCTTACCAGATGACCACCAAAAGTTAGCACATAACTGTGCTATTTCCTTGCATACAGCAGCAGGTAGACAGAAACAAGACATCACAAAAATTGGCAAAGCTGAGAGCACAGATTTCAATAAAATCTCCTTACCAGCAAAGGATAAGAACCTGTTTTTCCAACTAACAATTTTCTTCTTCACAGCCACAGTAACATATTCAAAAACTTCTCTTTTATTTTTACCAATGCCCAAAGGTAGAACAAGGTATCTAGATGAGTGACATACCTCAATTCCTTGTAGGCATTGACAAATTTCAGCTTTGAGCCCCACAGAAGCATTTTTACTGAAGAAAACTGAAGATTTGGATAGATTAACTTTCTGCCCTGTAAATCTTTGATAAGTAGCTAGGACTCTGAGCAGATTAATAGCATTATGTAAATCAGCAGCACAAAAGAGTAGAGTATCATCTGCAAACATTAGATGAGACAGAACAGTCCCACCCTTCACAATTTTCAACCCCTGCATATCTCCACTCCTGACAGCATATCCAATCATTTTGGTAAAAATCTCAGACACCAGCAAGAACAAATAAGGAGATAGAAGATCTCCTTGTCTGAGACCTCGAGAAGGCACCACAAACCCAGTCACCTTTCCATTAATATTCAGAGAGAAAACAAAAGATGATATACAAGCAAAGATCCATCTCACAAACACAGGGCTGAACCCCATTTTCTTCATCAATTTAATCAAACAGTTCCACTCAACACAGTCATAAGCCTTCATCATATCTAATTTCACAGCCATAAAACTTTTCTTCCCCAGCCTATGTCTATTAAGGTAGTGGATGACTTCATGAGCAACTACCACATTGTCCAAAAGTTGTCTTTCAGGAATAAAAGCTGACTGTGTTTCACTCACACATAAGTTAAGGCATTCTTTCATTCTAGCAGCTAAAACCTTAGCAATGATCTTGTATGAAACTGAGCATAGACTTATGGGTCTATAATGGTTTACTGATTTAGGATTTTCACATTTTGGGATTAATGTTATAACAGTGTGATTCCAGCTCCTCATCATCCTACCAGTATGAAAGAAATTTAAGATAGCAGCGCAGAGATCACCTTTAATGAGTGGCCAGAAATGCTGGAAGAATAGAGAAGTCATGCCATCTTCTCCAGGTGCCTTATTAGGATTCATAGCAAATAAAGCATCCTTAATCTCAGCTTCATCAACAGCTGCAATCAGTCTTGAGTTCACTTCTTCAGAAATAACAGGTGATATAAGTTGCAATATGTCATCTTCATCCTCAGAACCTCCAGATGTAAAGAGAGACTGATAAAAATCAATGAAACAAGCCTCAATCTGCTCCTGAGTATCTGCAACTCTATTCATGTTATCCACCACTCTGGAAATTGCATTCTTCTTCTTCCTCTGCATAGTGACAGCATGGAAGAGCCGAGTGTTCTTATCCCCACCCTTCAGCCATTGTATCCTGGCTTTTTGTCTCCAGAATTCCTCTTCAGCTACATGAGACTCATCAAGCTCTTTTTTAATCTTTTCCCATTCCTCCCAGTTTCTCTGTCCTCCAAGAGCTCTCATTTCCTCCAACTTGAGTGTACATTCTGCAATCTTCCTCTCATTCACAGACTTAGTCCTTTTATTCCACTTAGTAAGAGCCATTCTGGTCTGTTTAATCTTCTCTTTCAGCTTATGCATTAATGACCCCTCCACTGGACTAGTCCAGGCCTTCTCAACCTCTTCTTTGCATCCAGGTTTCTCCAGCCATCTTTTATCAAAACAAAACCTCTTGAAAAAATGAGACTGAGCAGTGCCAGTATCCAATATAAGCATAGAATGATCAGATGCACTTTTGAAGTATGTCTGAACTTTTGCTCTGTTATTATCCACCATCCAGGAGTAGGAACCAAATACCCTGTCAAGTTTTTCTTCTATAAAGTCCTCCCCTCTTCTATTATTACTCCAAGTATACTGA